CCGATAGCGTCGAGACGCTGCGCTTGCGCCGATGTAGCCTCGCGGAACGTGTCCATCTCTGGTTGAGGAAGCGAGCCGAGTCGCGGACGACGCCTGCTGGAGCTCGCGCTGCAGGCCCGGCCGTGTCGTGGGACATGAGGACGGGGAGCAGGCGGGCGGACGGGTAAAAGCGGCCGCGGACGTCGGGCTCGCGGAGGACAATGTCGCGGCGGAGGAGGTGCAGGCGCCAGCGCGACGCCGGGGCGGCCTTGGCGCGGAAGAGCATCTCCTCGCGGAGGGCGCGCGGCAGCTTCGTCTCCGGCACGTCCGAGGACGGGGTCACGGCGGACGCCGACGGCGGGCCCGGCGCGTCGGTCGACAGCGGCGCGTAGAGGTCGCCCTTGAAGAAGACGGTGCCCGGGTTGTCGGCGGCGGTGCAGATCTCGCGGAGGCCGAGGAGGGCGCCGCCTTGCGCGAGGAGCTCGAGCCAGTCGGGGGCGATGTTGATGTCGGGGGAGGCGCGGATGCGGAGCGTGTCGCCGACTTCGATGCGCTCGGCGCCGAGGAAGGCGCCCTGGTAATTGACCTTGCGGCTGTCTGACGAAGTGGGGAGTTTGGAGAAGAGAGAGAAGGACATGGAAATTTTGACGGCGGCGAGCTTGGACGCGTCGAGGAGAAGGGGTTCGCGTTTGGAGGGGTCGGTTTGGAGGGCGGCGATGTGGTCGGCCCAGGGGACCTCGTCGAACGGATGCGTGCCGAGGCTCTGCTGGCTGACGGGCGGTACTGTGAAGGCAAGGAACGGGCGCAGGCCCGTCTCCGGTTTGGCCTGAAGCTGCATATTGTCGAAGAGGGCGTGCGAGATGGGGAGAATGTCCACCTGCTTGGTTTGAGGGTTGGACTTGGCAATGAGGCCGATACGCCAGCTCGGGGTCACCGAGTACCAGACCATCTCCCCCGTGCGGAAGAAGAGGGAGGACATGTTTTGGTTGAAGGGGACCAGCGTGTTGACCGTGGGCACGATCGGAACTGGCACCGGCGACTCCGTCTTGAGGGACACGGTCGGCGGAGGTTGAGGCACCGGGGCTGGCGCCGGTGCTGGCGCTTGCACAGGTGCCGGGGCATGTGCCGGGGCATGTGCCGGGACATGGACCGGCACCGGCACAGGGGTTTGAATGGGCGTCAATGACGGTGCAGATGTAGCCACGGGAGGCGGCTGGACCGCTCGCAGAGGTGGTGTGGCCGTTGGCGTGGGTGTTGCGCTCGGGGCCTTGACGTTGGCGATACTCTTCTGGACAGCTTCGCCAGCCAAAGGTGCTGACACTGGTGCTGACACTGGTGCTGACACTGGTGCCGGCGGCGGTATTGTGCTTGCCACTGCCGCAGCAGGCTCCTGGACACTGAGCTCGTCGCCCATGTTGGCGACCCTCGGGGCGATGCAGTGCACGCAGCAACAGTCGTTATGGTCCTTGGAGCCCGAGAGGAGCCACAGCAGATGCACACCAAACTCCTGAGGGCTCTTGAACAGCTTGGATTTGATAGGATAGCCGGACACCCAGAGGTGTTTGGACTTTTCGTAGAGCCAGTATCCCCGGGGGAAGTGAATGTACCAAGGCAGACCCTCTGTTCAGTTCTTGTCAGTTGGCCGTGAGAGGGGTCACCAATGCGACGAGGACCAAGCCCAGCACTCAGGCGTGACGTACCTTGGGGGCTGAGTGAGAGCTCTTGCTTGAGGAGCAAGCCCAACTTGACCCGCCACTCGACAAACCTCGGGTCATCCTCCTCGAGTCTGGCCATTTGCGGTTTCGTCCTGGGAGTCTTGTCTGCGATGGCCGCGCCGGGGCTTCTTCGCCGTCTTTGCTGCATCTACCGGCCAGTAGCCCGGGCCTGTGTCCTGGCCATCGCTGTGGGCGATTCTGATGACGTGAAATTCCTGCAAGTCAGACATCTTTTGTGTCTCTCGGCAGCCTGGTGGGTGGTCCGACGCGGGTTGTGCGCCTCAGTTCAGTGGTCGATTTGGCTTCGAGGTGCTGGGAAGCCAGCCAGCCGCCTTCTCTAAGGGGGGGGGGGGCCCTAGCGCCACGAACGGCCTGGCGATGTCGGTCGACGTGAAGATGAGACGCCTGTTCGATATTGAATGAGGAGGAAGCCTTTTGATAATAACAATCCTCTGGACGAGGTTGCCACTTGCCTCGCTCGAAGCTTTCGTCACTGCTGTCAATGAGATTCGGTGTGAGAACGGGTTGAGATGGCGAGGGACGTCGTGACCGCTGCTGAAGGCTTCGCCGCGTCAAAGCCAGGTCTCAGGCCCTTGAGAACCTGGCACGTCCGTCTGTGGTCTCGCTGTTCGACTGAGGAGAACTGCAGGGAGAGGGAGTGAGCTGGGCCTTGTCGGGATGTGAGGGTTCAAAGCTCGAAAGCCAGCTCGTGCCATTGGATGGACGTCAGGCCTGCATGGGAGAGCTCCCTCTTCGCTAAGAATGCTTAGTCAGCACCAGCTCATATCTAAGCTGCTAGGCAGGTAAGGTGGGCAACGGGCTGACAGATTAAGTGGCACTCAAAATCCGCCAAATACAGGTATCATCCAGATAGACCCCTAATCGGAACCTTCCTCAGAACTATCATCTCAATCAAATGCTCTGAGATTCTACCTACTGGATAATCGGCAATACATTCAACCACAAATCTACCTTTATCAGTGTTAAGCTGATACTATCCAAGTCTAACATGTCGGTTCAAAGGGAGCTCGCCTTTTGGGAGTGTGGCTTCTTTTGTCACCTCCTGCTAGGTATTACCTGGTAGGTGAGTGTATGGCCAACCTCGAGCTGCTGCTGCTAACCTGACCACTCATAGGTGGTGGGAGCCATCTTGCTGAGCCGCACATTGTACGAAGTGGTCCGACTTGCTCGGCAGCCTAGATAGGTAGTTTTCACTCTTCGAGCTACAGAAACATACAGCTTGACGGTCCAGATCAGTTTCCAGATAGGGATTGTCTCGTGAGAGCTCGCCTATGCTCACGCCGATCGCACCAATTGCGAAACCAATCCTCATGCAAGGCCCCCTTCCATCGGCTTGCAAGCACAGCGCGTGTATCATACATCCGTCCCAGGGGTATCACATTATGTAATAAAACACTCTCTTCTCCTTTTCTCCTTTTTTTTCCCCTTCCAATCCCACTCTCTACCCACCATGCCGCATTCCCGTCATATTCGAGTCACTGTCGTCCTCCCGTTTGGTGCTGACGTGGGAGCCCCCTTCATGGGCCACTCTTCAACGGCACCACCACCATTGCCCTGCCTGTCCACATGGATTTCGCTCAGCCTGATGCCCTGCTGGTAGGACGGCGCCGGGTATTGCTCCAGGTCCGGGACGTCATTTCGAAACGGCAGCCCGGGAGTAGGCGGCTCCGACTCGAGCCGCTGCGAGCCCCGGTGTCGCAGCCTGAAGCCGTTGCGCAGCGGCCTGGGCACAAAGTGCGACCGCATGTAGTCGCGGAACGTCTTGGTCGTGCCGAACACGACAAACGTCAAGAGACTGGCCGTCACGCCGGGGATGAAGACGAGCAGATCGGACTGCAGTCGGTCCATGCCGAGGTCGGGCTCCGTCCCTATGGATTCGAGGTTGTTGCGCCGCGACGCGCTGACCTGGAAGACGATGGTCACCATTTGAAAGGCGCTGTCAACAAGAGTCAGTCTCTGCGGACGCACCGCCGCATGTGAGTTCCCCCAAACACTCCACCTCATGGCAAGGCGCGGCGAATTGTGAAGCGCACGACGAGCCACTTGTCATATATGCTCTGGCGCCGCGGTCGGACGACGCTCGAGACGGTGACGTTGTCCGACGGACCCCTCGGATCGCTTGCCGTAGTTGACGTTCCACGACAGCACATTTCTGCGCCACGTGAATGTATTTCACGAGAATAATCAGTAGTATGATGATACTTCCGGAGATGCAAGCAAGGACTGCTCGCGTGTCAGCATTTCCAACACAGGTCGAGCAAGGCGAGTGGGTTGGTCGTACGCAGAAAGTCCGCTATCCCGATGAACAAGACGGTATTGGTTTGGATAGCGTCGATGCGCAGGAGGCTGAGCATGATGGCCGGTAAAATGATGGCGACGACTTTCGAAATGGGGTTGGCTTTGCCTCTGAAGGATTCAATGAAGCTGAGTTGAAAGATGGACTGTGCGAGTGCGGCGGCCCTGCGTGGTTGTTAACATGGCCTGTCGAGATCCACGCGACCATCCCAACGTACCAGAAAAACGTCGCCATGGCTGTGACCTGATAGGAGTAGAATTCTGGGAGGCCACTGTCAGTCACGATGCCGCGTCGTCACAGGGGCTGAAAGACAAACGGATATAGAACAGCACAAGGTCAAGGCCGGCAGACTGCCCCGCGAGGGCCAGCTCGGGGTTTCCCACGTTGGCCAGCGCATTCGTATGCTGCTGGGTCTTGATATCACGCCATCGCACAATGGTGTGTAGTTGCTGGGCTATCGAACCAGCAGATCCCAAGCCTGTCGATATGGAGATGAGGGCGACATCTGGCAGGAGACGATCAGCGACTTGCTCCGGGACCAGGCCGTTACCATGACCCTTGGACTCAGGAACTCACAGCTTGCTCGTTCGCGATGGACGCAGACCAGCCATACCATCAAAACGCTGCAGAACAAACAAAAGAACGAGTACACGAGAACGCCAATGGCGACTCCCAACTTCTCATCGGGAAGCTGTACGGCCATTCTCAGCCCGTTGTCATCTTGCTCGTCCAGACCACGGCACGATCGATTTGCAGTGTAGCGGGCCGCGTCAAGAAACAAGGGAGCAGAGGAGCGCGCGGGAACGGGGGAGGGGGTGGAAAGAGAGGACAAGGCAGACAATAGAGGAGATCGCAGATGCTTAAGATCTCCGCAAGGGTGCTTGCGTGGAACTACGGGGTGGATCCACAACCAGGCTCACCACGGACGTCCTCGAGTCGAGACCGGAGCATGGGCAGCAAGGTAGTCCTGGTACGAGATCTGCGGCGCATAATGTTTGCTCAGAAGCTGGGGCCAGAAAATTCAACGATCGGGGGGGGGAGGAGGAGGGCGGGCGGATGATCCCAGATGAATGGTGAGGCGGGAAATTTTCGCAAACCACCCCCCTCCTCTCCAGTAGTGAGACCACTCGAGTCGACCAAGACAAACATCGCGAATCGGAATGCGGACCTGCTGAGACCCAGTTTGCCATGTCCTCGTCAGTTCCCCCAGATCCCCGTCGATGCTGAGTCGATAGTCTCTGACGCGGCGCCGTTCTTCCCACCGCGAACGGGTTGGGCGGGGCTGGAGAGAAATCACCGGTCCGACAAGCTCGAGGTGCGTCCTGCAGGTGGTGCACTTCTGAGGCTACCAGCTGAAACGATGCCTGTCACGGCCCGGACAGCAGGCCCCCTGGATCTGGATGAAATGACGAGCGACTAGCTGGGCGCTAGATCTTATTGGTGATCTCCCACAGATCTTTCTCACCAAACGGGCCCAGCCGAATGAGCGCTACAGGTGGTGGCCATGCTTGCCATGGTGGTCTGGCATGGAGAGTGCCGTTGGAGCATTTTTTTTCTTAGTGTGCATTTTAGCTGCCTGTCGCACGGCGACAGCGTCCGAGCGAAAGCATGTCGGGAGCTCGACACGCGTGTTCATAGGCCGAATCATGGCGGGCCCGGTGGAAATCGGGGTCCCTTACGTGAAACTGGCCACATGGCTTTTCTTGAATAGCCTGATGATTGATCTTGGCCAGTGTCCTCCACGGGAGTCGTCAATCCGGATGGAGACCATCAATCGCACACGAAACGATGTTTGGGCCTGTACCCCATGTGGTATAGCAGGCTTCTCGAAGTTGTTGGGGTCGGGAATGTGTGGCCGACTTGGGTAGCAAGTAACGATGGAAACATGAAAAGGACCAGACGAAAGGCAAGTGGTGCGGTGGTGTACGATCGTGTCCCGAAGACCTGGATCCGAGGTTGCAATCGACCCGATCTGCCCTTGTCGGCTGGCATGTCTTTGACCCTCATTTCGGATGGACAACCGCAAGCGAAAAAGACGCCACCTCAGCGCACCAGCAATCTGCCCTCTCAGCCGGAACGGTTTTTCTCTCTTTCTTGGATTTTCGGTGACTTACCTACTGTTGTGGAGACACATTGGGCGTGATGACATGTAAAGAGGCGACAGATGCGTGGAGGATCCAGGTGGATGTGGACAGGAGAAATATATGGATCAACCAGCGTTGGTCCCGGACGATGATTGTGTTTCGGTCATGCACTGCCACAGCCAAGGGCTCGAGATGTGGCACAGCTGCAACAAGACCTCTGACGCGTCTCGTCGCGTGCCCTTCCACACTTGCTGCCTTTGATGTACTCCGAGCTTGAACAACCCCGCCAATCCAGCTGCGAGCCTTGGAGACAGCTCCCAAACCAACCCACAGTCCTGGATAAACATCCCTCGTGATCCATCCTTCACCATCCGCCGAGGCACTCGACACCATCTCGCCCAACCATGGCGAACGTCGCACCACACTACCGCGACGGCAACCGGGCCTTCCTCCAGGCCTTCATGGCCCGCGGCGCCCTGACGTTCGAGGACGCCCGACCGATCCTGGCGGCCATCTTCTCGGCCGACGAGAACCAGCCGGTGACGGAGGACAAGGTGACCCGTCAAGACTTTGACTCGTACGTGGCCGCCGCCTCGGAAGCCATCTCCTTCTTCGACTACGAGATCCGCAGCTCGGTGCACCAGGCGACGAGCAAACGCGTCTTTGCGCTCGTCAACACAACGTCAGACCCCATGACGCAGCTCGCGACGACGTACGCGCCGGACGAGTTGAGCTTCGTCAGGCGCGTGCTGGACGCCATGTTCGACACGTACAACACGCCGCGCATGGAGTGCATGTGCCTCGACAGCATGCAGGTCATCAAGCTGGCACGGCCGCCGAAACCCCGCCAGGACAATGCCAGCCACAACGAGGACGCAGAGGAGGAGAACGGAGACGGCGGCGCGGCCACGCAGGCGCAGGCGCAGGCGCAGACGCAGGCGCCCACGGACAAGGGCCTCAAGCACAGCGAGGTCGAGGCCATGGCGGCCAAGCTCGTCGGCGAGGGGTGGCTCGAGAAGTCGCGCGAGGGGTTCTACAGCCTGAGCCCCCGCGCGCTCATGGAGCTCCGGACGTGGCTCGCCGAGTCGTTCAACGACGCCGAGGCGGCGGCCGGGGACTGGCAGCGCATCAAGTTTTGCGAGGCGTGCAGGGACATCATCACGCAGGGGCAGCGGTGCGCGGCGCGGGACTGCAACATGCGGCTGCACGACGTGTGTGGGGACGCTTTTTTTTTTTTTGTGGCGGGAGAAAAAGTGTTCTTTGTTGCGCGACAGACTGGACGGGGGAGCTTTTTTGTTGGTTATAGGGTCTTCTCGATTATGGGAGGCCTACTGAGGAGACGCAGATTTTTCGTTTTCCTTATTGTTTATTTTTTTT